CATGGTGCTGACAACACCAAGTGAAGGGTTAAGATCCCCTTACCGGTCATTTTTTAAAAAAAAAAAAAAAAAAAAGAAAAGCCACTGGCATAAAGACAGATTAGAGAGGATAGAGAAGGACCGTTTAGGAGGCAGTTACAGTAGTGCAGCAAGAGGTGAGGTCACTCATACTCTATGTGGCAGAAGTGGGTCGAGTGGCCAGATGGAAGCCAGGACATAGCACTGACAAGGCTTGATGACAGTGTGGGTGAACATGGAGGGAAGAGGCAGCTCATTATGGTGGATGGAGTGGCTGTTCCCTGAGAGGTGACACAGGAGAGGGGCAGAATTGGAAGAGATCATGAGTTCTGTCAGTCAAGCTCATTTGGAGATGTGTGTGACCAAAGAGGTCTTGGTCAGCCGGGCCCAGGGCTGGCCCTCCTCCTCCTCCTCCTCCTCTTTTTTTCCTTGGACTGCTTCCTTCCCTTTTTACCCATCTCTGCTCCTGGGCCCCAGCAGGTGTGTGTCCTGGGCCTGCACCTGGCCAAGGAACTGTGTGAGGTGGATGAGGATGGTGACTCATGGCTGCAGGTGACCCGCAGGCTCCCCATCCTGCCCACCCTCCTCACCACCCTGGAGGTGAGCCTTCGCATGAAGCAGAATCTACATTTCACTGAGGCTTCGTTGCACCTGCTTCTCACTCTGGCTCGCAGCCAGCAGGTAGGCCAACCCTAGGGCAGGAGGGACCCTCCTTGCTTGTGATGGGGGTGGGTTCTGACACTCATAGAAGCTATGGTCTGGCCCAAGAGCTCTACCTGCCCCTGGGCAGGGCAGCTGAGGCTTAGGCTCCAGTCATGGTGGGGCAGGGAGACAAACTCCATCTCATTCCATGTCTTTCCCTCCTAGGGAGCCACAGCAGTGGCTGGAGCTGGCATTACCCAGAGCATTTGTTTGCCCCTCCTGAGTGTGTACCAGCTCAGCACCAATGGCACGGTGCAGGTGAGTGCCTGTAGCTGGCTAGGAGGCGTGGCCTGGCCAACTTGTAGTTCCAGTTGAAAAGTGCCCTTCCCCATCTTGGTGCTTTTGCTTGCCTTGGAAGTTGCTCTCCTCTTCATGGCTTGTCTAATGCACTGGTGGTGGGGAATCTTCCCCACCCCCAGGCTGACCTCTAGCAGGAGATGCTTGGCTACAGAAAGGCACTGCCTGGTCTCTATGTACCACCTTTGGGAGATGACATTGGGACCAGGCCTCTAGCCAGGGCAGCTGTCCTCTCCTCTCTCCCTCCCAAAGGCAGGGTATAATTGTAACTTCTTCACCCCTGCTCCACCAGACCAGGACCAGGAGAAAGGAAGTGGGTGGTGTGAGTGCTTGATGGGGCCTCAGCACCAGGTTCTCTGTGCCACCTTAGTTATAGAGGTCTCTTAATTTCAAAAGAGTAGTCTTCACTGAACCTCTCACTCTTGTAGGAATCGTTAAGGATTTAGTCATCTGGTCCAGTGCTCTTTAGAGGAGACTTGGAGGGCCAGAGCAAGGCAGCAGCATGTCCAAATTCACACAGCTAGTTAGTGGCAGACCTGAGTCAAGAACGCAGGATCTCATTTCTCTGCCTAAGCTTTCTTTCCTCTTATCCGCTGGCCTTGGATCATGTCTGGACCTGCTGGTTGCCAGGCAGTGGCTGTACCCACTCTAAGAAACTTTTTCCTCCCAGTAGCTGGGCTGCCTGAGCTGCTGGACTGCAAGGAGGCCCTCCTGTACCTTTCAGCTGGGTTCCTGTGGCACCGTGTCCTGAGCTTGTCTGTTTGTGTCTTAGACGCCTAGCACCTCTCGGAAATCCCTGGATGCTCCCTCTTGGCCAGGGGTGTACCGTCTGTCCATGTCCCTGATGGAGCGGTTGCTCAAAACTCTGCGCTACAACTTCCTGACTGAAGCCCTGGATTTTGTGGGTGTCCACCAGGAGCGGACCTTACAGGTGAAGGACTGCCAGTATCACAGGGTGTGGTTTCAGGGTAAAAAGGGGTCTGAGCCATTCATGGGGGAGGTAGGTATGGAGTGTGGGCCTTGGCAGTTGAGGAGTGCTGATGCCCTTGTTGTCTGAGGTGCTCTGAGGACTACTGACTGAGGACTACTGGCTAGCTAGAGTTTGCTGAGTGAGGGGAATGGCTGCGGTCAGCTAAGACAGAAGCCTTCATTGTAACGCCAGGCCACCTATTGTGCTGCCCCCTCAGCATTTGTGGGCCTAGGACCTGTCCTCCCCACAGGAGGGCAGACATGGGTGTCAGATCCCTGAGCTATCACCATCCTTCCCTACTGTCCCCTCCCAGTGCCTCAATGCGGTGAGGACAGTGCAGAGTCTGGCCTGCCTGGAGGAGGCGGACCACACCGTGGGCTTCATTCTGCAGCTCTCCACCTTCATGAAGGAGTGGCACTTCCATCTGCCTCGGCTCCTGCGTGATGTCCAGGTGGGGGCAGCAGACACGTTTTCTTAGAGGGGTCTGGGGAAATGCTTGGGGACAGGGAGGCTGTGGCCACGCTCTGGGGCATCTCCTGTGAACTGCGCATGAACATGAGCATTTTGCCTGGGAGCACAGGGTTTGGTTTCATGTTGCTTCGTCTGGCTGAACGTTTCCCTCCACAGTGAAGGGCTGACATGTAGGTTAGGAAATTGGGTGGTGTCAGATGGACCTTGGTTTAGATCCCTTCAGAACAGGTCTGAATCTGGGAACTAGCCAGGGGGTGCGCAGGGAAAGAACACAGGCCCTGGAGTCAGACTCTATTGTTTGCTAATTGTGTGACTTTAGCCAAGTCACTTCACCTCTCTTAGCCTTTATTTTTCTGTAAAATGGGAATAATATTCCCCATCTTCCTTCCTTTCTTTGGACCTTAGAATGTGCCAGGTGTTTAGCTAGGTTCCAGGGACACAGCCCAAGCCTGCTGACCCCGAGCTTGCAGTCCAGCATACTTAGTGTCTGAAAGGGTTTTAAGCTAGGAAACGTGGACAGGTGAGCATCTGTAGAAGAGAGAAGAGCACTGGTATTATTAGTCACCTGTTTGGTTGGTGTAGTCATTTGGTCAGGGCTGCTGTCAAGAGCATTCCCCTCATCCATTCTGTGTCTGTCCCAGGTAAACCTGGGTTACTTGTGCCAGGCCTGCACCTCCCTCCTGCATAGCCGCAAGATGCTGCAGCACTACTTACAGGTAACTGAGCCCTAACCCCATGACTGCCTTGAATGTCTCACTCCTAGCCTCCCTGGGCTTCACCTTCATTTCTTGACTCTGCTCAGAACAAAAATGGGGATGGCATTCCCTCAGCTGTCGACCCCCGAGTTCAGCGGCCACCCACTGCTGCTGCTGCTGCCCCTTCCTGCTCCTCCTCCTCCAAGCAGCCCACTGCTGATACAGAGGCCTCAGAGCAGCGAGCCTTACACACGGTCCAGTATGGCCTTCTCAAGATCCTCAGCCGGACCCTGGCAGCCCTGCGCCACTTTACCCCTGATGTCTGCCAAATCCTGTTGGATCAGGTACCAGCTGCCCCTGTGCAGCACCCCTGCCTCCCAGCAGCCAGCCTCTGTAGCTACCTGGTGTCTCAGCTGGGTTCTAGATCACTCTTTTGCCTTGCAGTCCCTGGATCTTGCTGAATACAATTTCCTGTTTGCCCTGAGCTTTACCACACCCACCTTTGACTCCGAAGTGGCCCCCTCCTTTGGGACCCTTCTGGCTACAGTGAACGTGGCCCTCAACATGCTTGGAGAGGTAAGGTGGGTGCTGTCAGCCTCTGGCTCCTCCACCCAACACTTCCTCCCAGTTTACCACTTCCCAACTGACCTTGGGCATGTTATGTAGCCTTCCCGAGCCTGTTCCTCTTCTAAATGACTATGGTAGAACCTACCTGTGAGGATTAAATGATGTAACTGATGAAAATTGCTTAGTGCCGTACCTGCCAGGTAGGAAGCTCTCAATCAGTGGGAGCTGTTACTGTCATTTTATTTACTGCTTGCTGCTTTTCCTCCAGCTGGACAAGAAAAAGGAGCCCCTCACCCAGGCTGTGGGGCTCAGCACACAGGTGGAAGGGACCAGAACATTAAAGTAAGACCTTCTTCTGGGACTTGATAAGAGGCTGGGGCAGTCAAGGACACCTGCCAGCTCGGCCCTCTGCAACAGTACCAAAAACTTGCCTCTTCCCCCAGGTCCCTCCTGATGTTTACTATGGAAAACTGCTTCTACTTGCTCATCTCCCAGGCGATGCGTTACCTTAGGGACCCGGCTGTGCACCCCCGGGACAAACAGCGGATGAAGCAAGAGCTCAGCTCAGAGTTGGTATGGATGGATGGATGCAGAGGGCTCTGATAGGAGGGGGCTAGGTCAATAGGGAAAGACCTCCATGTGGCCCTGCTGGCCAGTTCCTGAGGGTTGGGACAGTGGCCAAGAGGTGCAAGGCCTCGCCCAGAGGTGCAGGGCCTCATCCAGTGCTTTTTTTCTTGTAGAGCACACTGCTCTCCAGCCTCTCGCGCTACTTCCGCCGGGGAGCCCCCAGCTCCCCTGCTGCTGGTGTCCTCCCTTCGCCTCAGGGAAAATCCACCTCTCTCTCCAAAGCCAGCCCTGAGAATCAAGAGCCTCTGATTCAGCTGGTGCAGGCCTTTGTCCGGCATGTGCAAAGATAAGAAAGTAGCGTGCTGTCCGCCTCCCACTCTCCACCAGCCTGCATGGCAGCCCTGAGCGGAAGGGGTGCTATGGCTGACAGCCTGTCTGCGACTAAGAGCAGCTCCTGCCACCCTCTCTTCAGAGTAGCCACGACTCCAACCACCCGCCCACTGCCATTATTTTTATAATAGATGAAGAGGTCAGCAGCAGGGGTGGGGAGCCAAGAGTCTGCTGTGCTCAGGCCCTCACATTCAAAATGCCCCTGAGAGGCATATTCCTTTCCTTTGAGCATTCCCCACAGCACTTGTCAGGCCCAGGGGAGGGGCAGGGAGCCGGTATACGGCAGTCCAGGAGAGAGGCTGTATGCACAGGTTTGAAAATCTCTTTTCCATGATCTGTTCTTGCAGTTTTTTGGTAATATAATACTGTGGTCTATTTATACAAATATTAAAATACTGTTTATAGACAACTGTGTGATGTAACTTCAAAGCTCAGGAATGACAAGCCAGCTGTCAGAGCCTCGAACAAGTCTTCGGCCAGGAGCCTGGAGGTGGGGCAGCAGTTTGGGGAAGGCAGGGTATTTATTGATGGTGACTCACTGACATTCCTCTGTTAACATCCCTGGGTGGGGGGTGCAGTGGACGTTGTCAGGTGCTCCCTCTCTAGGCCCACCTGGGCCCTCTCTCTGGTGCCTCCATTTGCCCAGCTGGCTGAGCTTATCACTGGGTGTGGCCTTAATTCAAGTTCTGCTCCTTCCTATTTATAGCTCAGTGCCCCTGCCTTCCTACTCCTGCTCTTCAGAAGCCCCAGTGGTGGGGCCCACCAGCCTCTGGCCTCCTCAGGACCAAAGTCAAGAGAATGCTGGGCCCAGCTAAGAGCCATCGAAAACACGGGCACCCCTTGAGATTTCTAGAATCATTATGACCTGGGCTTGAGTCCCTCTGCTTAGCCACTTGCCAGGTGTGGTGCCTTGAGGAGGTAACTACCTTTCTGAACCTTCCTCCCCTCATCTGTAAAACTGAGGACGGCATGAACACACATGAGCATGTACTTGGCTTAACAAGCCTGGTCCACAGAAAACACTGACAGCTACCAGTTGAGCTTCAACTGTCAGTCAAATTCAGCAGTCCATTCCACAATCCAAATTTAGGCAAGTTTTTTTTAGGAATAAAACAATTATTGTGCAGCTTCATGTAAGGGAACAGCACTGCCATCTGAGAGGCACGGGCCCGGCGTGGGAAAAGGAGGGCCAGGAAGGCTGTGCTTCCCGCCTTAAAGAACTTTCCCCTCTCTCTGCCCTAGTACTCTGGGAGGGGGACCAGCCAGCAGGGCACCCTGCTCCTTTGGTAGTCACCCCCGCCCAGGAAGAGTGGGGCAGATGTGCAGTCATCCCTTTCCTCCCCCTTCTTAGGGCTGGCCTCATGTGACAGTGACCTGACAGGAGCCCAAGCAAGTCGCACACAAAGGAGGGTTTATTATTCATCATTGGCTAGAGAGCAAGCAGACAGGCAGAAGTAAAAATATCAGTTAAAAAGTGAATGTGGAGAGGTGAAGGCTGCAGCCACCATCCTTGGCTTGAGCTGTGAGGGGTGGGAGGGGAAAGGGTAGCACCGGGAAGATGCTCCTGCCAGGGTTTCCCCTCCTAGGAGGGCAGCACCCAGTGCCAGGGGCTGCCAGAGCCCTACCTGCCTCACCGTTTTCCCCTCTTCTGTTTTTGGCAACTAAGAGGCAGGTGCTCTCTTCTTGCCCAGGGCGTGCCCAGGGCTTCCTAGGCCAGTCTACAGCTGCCCCACGCTGGCCTGGGTGATGAGCACAGCTGCTACAGCCAGGCCCTATCTCCTTAGCAGGAGCTGGCAAGGCTGGGGTGCTCAGGGGATGCAGGCGGGGTGGGGGCTCCAGAACCACAGGTCAGAAGCAGGGCTGGGGGAGAGGCAGGGACCATTCAGCCTCTTGGGCTCCCTTATGGCTGGATGACCAGGGCATGGACAGAATGGGGTCTCCCCACCCTGAGCAGCTGTGTCACCAACAGACAAGATAAGTGGCAGGGCTGCATCCACCCTCTCCTGCCCAGGCCAGAATGAGCAGGCGCCTGGCAGGGAAGGGGGGCTGCCTAGCTGAGCAGTTCCAAGTAGGTAACGGGGACCTTGCCCTTCTTGTTGCCTCTCTCGCCAATAAGCCAGTCAGGGTCCATGCCAGGGAGGCTATAGACAGTGATGAGCTGTAGAGAGAGGGCAGAGAGGGAAGGTCACGCCCTGGCCAAGGGCAGGACTGGCTCCTGGACTAAGTGGGAGACAGTTGCCATTTCCCTATGATCAGGGCATCTACATCTTTAGGGGGTGGATGGTCATGGCAGATTGGGGATTGCTTCCTCAGAGCTGAGTTGCCTTCCCTTAACCCCTGTGGTCCCTGCTTGACCCCTGGGGCCTCTCAGAGACTCCAAGATAGTGACATGGGGTCTGCAAGTCCACTGCTCCCAGTACCGGTTCTCTGGAGTCTCCTAATCTGGCCCTTTCCTACCCCTGTCAGCAGCAGACCCACCTCATCAGCCAGCAGGGCCAGCTCACTGCTGTCAGCCGCTTCATAGTCGTAGAGCACCCGGGCCTTGCGGGTCCCGCTGGCAGGGGGCGCCACCTCCTCCAGGCAGAGTGCAGCCTCCCCTGGAGGGGCCAGGCCAGCCACAGAGGGCACCACTGGCATAGTGGCTGCAGTGGTGGTGGGCGAGGTGCTGCTCAGGGGCGGGGAGGCAGGCTCTGAAGCTCCCACGAAGGTGCCTGGGAATCTGGAGAGGAGCATCTCAGCAGATGTGGGTACCATCCCACAGGAGTCCCACATGCCCCATAAGATATCCCAGAGGCAAGGGCCCCTCCCTCATCCCCAGAGACCCCTCCACCCCTGCCCCCAGCTACTTACATGGCACCCTGGGAGCTGGCAGCACAAAGGAAAAAGCAAAGCAAGCTAAGAGTGAGATGGTCCTGCCCCCTGTCCCTGTCACCCCCCACACCACCCTGCCATGTGTTCTTTAAAAACTGCTCTGAGAGTCCCAGGGGTCTCTATGGCAGTTGCCAAGGCCAGCCACCTCACCCTCACACACAAGGTGCCTGGACCAGAGTGGGGGCTGGAAAGGCAGAGCTCCAGTCCACCTGTGTGTCATGGAGCCTCTGAGCTCCCAGGGGACTCTCCTGCCCGGAGAAGCTCAGGCTATTCAGTGGGTGTGGGAGGGAGGGGACCCGCACCTGCCCAGTTGCTTCTGCAAGTCCAACATGTGGCGGTAACATTGTGCATAGTAGGTTGTCTGAGACTTGACGAACTCGTGGAGGCAGCGAAGGTGGTTCACCTGTGGGGAAATGGCCAGTGCTGACTTCTAACCTCCTGCCCCCAGGGGTGGGTAGTGTCTTAGGGGACAAAAAGTCCCATCCTCACCCCCATCCTCTGCCAGACCATGGCCCAGCATTCCAGAGTGTTCTGCCCCAGCCACCTGGGGGAGGACGGACATACCCTGCCTTGTAAGACTTACTCTGTGAAGGCACCTGTGGTCGTGCTAAAATGCCAGCCTCAGACACACAGAGCCAGCACTGTCCTCTCACCTTCTGAGATTTGGGTTCATGCGATGCCTACTAGTGGACAAGTTCCAGTGGGGGCACGAGGGCAGGACTCACGTGAGTGCTACTTATTCCCTCCAGCAGCAGACGGGTCACTTCTGCCTGCCGGTCAAACTCTGTCTGGGCCACTCGGAGCTCCTGCTCAGCCTGGGCAGAGCAAGGGCACATGAGAGCCAGCATGGGGCTTCCCTCCCCTCTGCTTCCTCTGCGCCCCTGAGGCCCTTCCACGTGCAGATGTCACTTCCTCCTGGGGATGCACATAGATGTCTGCATCCACCTCTGACTTCACATCTGGAGCCCTAACTCCCTGAGAAGCTAGACCCTTATGCAGGACCCCTTGAGCAGTTGCAGTGATAGACCCTCCTTCCACCACCTATCGGGAAGATCCACCTAGCAATGCCTCCTGAGGGCCTACTGTGTGCTATAAGGCACTGTGAAGTAAACATTTCTCCACAGGGGAAACTGAGGCCCAGAAAGGGAAAGTGGTAACACCCAATAGTGGCCCCAGTGGGTGTGGGACAGAGCCCAGAGCTAGAAAGAGATCAGACTCCACTGCAGCAGGTATGCCTGAACCCCGTTCCCAATCCCTCTTCCCCCAAGCCCTCCAGGCCCCAACTCACCTTGTCCACCTCATCATTCCAGAGCTTCAGAGACCACAACAGGACCGGTCAGCAGGGGAGGGGAGGGGAGGACAGCTGGACCCCAGAGTCTGTGCCCTGTCCCAGCTCCCAGAGATCCCAACCTCTGCCCAACCCCGACCCCCACCCAACCAGGAGCTGAGGCTGGCATGAGGCCTGGTGGGAGAGCAGAGGAACAGACAGTCACAGTCTGTCTAACATGCCACATGCAGGGAGGGGACAGCCAGCCGGGGAGTCCTGCCTATGTCTCCTACAGTGGCAGCCCCCAGTCTCTGAGCAGGGTCTCAAGAGAAGCCGAGTGTCCCCCACCCCACCCTGATTCTTGGCTAAGGCTGGAGGGCTGGGAGGCAGGACCGTGTGACCCTGGGCCAGTCACTGAACCTTTCTGTCCTCCGGCAGAGAAAGGCAGCCTCGTGCCTGAGTCACACTGGGGTTCAGTGGCAAAAGAAAAAAACAGGGCAGTCTCCACCCTCCAGGATGTTTCTCCTTCCACTCGGCCCAAGGAGGAGGGCGGGAAGTGTCATCCAGAGTCTAAAGAAGAAAGAGCCCCCCTCCCCCCACCATGACTTAGGAGACCCGTTTCTCCTGCCCACTTCTGGAAATCTGACCTAAGATGACAACCTGAAGTAGGGAAACTGAGACCAGGCCAGCCCCTGTGGCCCCGGTGCTGCACAGGAAATCCACACGTAGGGAGTGGTCTCCACCTGTGCGGCCCCAGAAGGCCCAGCCATAGGGGCCTGTGAGAGGAAACTAGGGCTGGCGCCCAAGGGGTTACCCAGCCCCAAAACACCCACTTGAGCACCGTGCGGCAGCATGCTTATGACGAGGTAAGGATGGCCAGAGGTCTGTGTGAGGATCTCCCCCACGGAGAGATGAAGGAGAGAGAAAAGGGCAGAAAAGGCACAGCCGTGGTGGCAACAGGCATGAGGGAGAGGTGTGATTGGCCTGGTTCCCAAACTAAACAGTAAGCACCAACTATCTCAACAAAGCTGTGAAACAACAATAACAACAGACACCGAGACGTTCACAGCCCACCTCCTGCCCCCACCTCCCTCCATGGCCCAGTCCACATCCTCAGGACAGGCCCTGCTCTCGGGGTGCTGGACCCGGGCACAGCTGTAGCATCCAGCTGCTGCCTCACGCCTCTCAGGACGTCTAGCACACATGCCGTAAAGGCCACTGGCTAAACCAGTAGCCATCCTGGACTCTGGTCTTTAGGAGCCTATGAACTTAGGGAAGGTGAGGCCCAGGCCTCTCTTCTCTGTACCCTCAAGGCCTGGCAAGGGCCTGGCATTCCGAGGTGGTGGGGGTGAGGAGCAGTGCCTCCTCGTGGTGGTGAGGGGGCAGACTCTCAGGGGCCCTTGAGATGGGATGGACACAGTCCTGAGTTCACCAGCTGCTCAGTGCAGCTGGCCAAGCTGCCACCTTCAGCATCTTGCAGGTAGGAGCAAGTCCAACAACGTGGTCCTGGGGCATGGGGCCAGGCCGGCAGATGGGGGTGGCGCTGCTGCTTCCCTGTCACTCTGCTGCCTCCCCAGCCTCTCAGGACTGGCTGATGTGTACAGTGCCCCCGCCTTACCCGCTGACTCCTGGTTCCTGAGCAGTCAGGGCCAGTGGCGTGGGGGGATGAGGGGAGAGAGGAGGCTGAGGGTGGGGTGGGGCTGGGGCGCTTACCGCAGAGGCGCTGGCTGAGAGAATGTAATTACGAGGTCTAGTCTCCTGAAAGTCAGGCACCGTCTGGCGGGGAACAGAGTTCATGGGGGGAGGGGGTCACCCTGGGCCAGTGTTGAGGCCAGGAGACTGCCCCAGTGTCTCCCACAGGAGATACAAGGAGGCCCTGGCTTCAGGGACAGGAGGATACAGACAAATACAACACAGGCCCCTTCTCCCCACTCCAGCCACCTGGACATGAGGCGGGCTTAGTGACTCGGAGAGTTCAGACAAAGACCAGTGGGTGGACGCACTGGGGATCCCGAGAGCAGATGCAGCAAGGAGATGGCCTGTCACAGCCCCTGCGTCTGGGCGAGCTGCAGGCTGGGCCCAGCCCCTACCCAGGGGCCACAACACCTCCTCCCTGGACCTAGTCACACTCAGATGCCCCAGTTAGACACACAGTCCCCCACACAAAGCCTGCCCCCACCATAGTGTTCTCCATCCCAGAATCTCCGCACACCACATCTCTAGCTCCTGCATTGAGGATCATGCCCCACCCCCACAAGGATAGACAGATGGATGCATGGATGGACAGAGTGACAGGCTTTCAACATTTGCAAAAAGCTGACTCACAGGCTCCAATGCCTGGCATCCCCCCAAGACCAGATGCTCCGCATGGTAGAGGCTCTGGTGGGGAGACCAGCTGCTTGCAAAATGCCCAAGGATATGCCCTGGGCCGGCCGTGGCACTGTGGCCCTGGGCAAGATGGACAAACCAGAAGCAGCACAGCACATGGGACAGGTATACTCACATCTCCCTCACACTGAGCCAAGTTACCCAAAGCAGAACAGAAAGGAACAAAAACAAAGAGTTAGTGAGTCCACAGCACAGGCGGGAGCAGGCCCCCAGGCCCCGGCAGGAGAGGATGCTAGGCGGATGGGCGGATGGACACACACAGCCCACCCTCTGGAAGGTGTCTTGATGTGTGCGTGTGCATGCACGCACGTGTGTGTGTGTGCATGTAGAGGGGCAGAGCTGCTGGGCTGGAGTCCTCTGGGATGCTGTTTCTGGGGCTGCCCAGGTCCTAGCTCTGGAGAGGGTGCCTGGCCTAACCCCAAGGCGTGATTGTGTCTGGGCCCACCAGGTGAAGAAGAGTTGTGCCACTGCAGTGACTGAGGAAAGGCTCCCCTGGCCTGGCTGTTGGATGAAGAGTTTGTCCTGGCTGAGTTACTTCAGAGAGGTTGTCCAGCCCTGAGTGACAGGGGACACTCTCCTGTACAGGTAACATTGAAGAGGTCATCCTGATAGCCACAGGTCACCCTAGCCAACCCCAACAAGACTTCAGTAGCTGAGCCCCTACCTCCAATCTGGACCCCACACACCTGGCTGAGCTGAGACCTTGCCCACAGCTCTCGCTGGGGCAGTGTGGGCCACACTGTGGGAGGGGAACACAGGAAGGTTGGGGGTCAAGGCTGTCATGGGCAGCTGTGAGCCCAGGCTGGGCTGGGCCTTCCTTGTCCGGGAGCCTAGGCAGGCAAAGGTGGTGGTTTCCCTAGCATGCTCTGGGCCCAAGAGTTCCCTCCTCAGAGTATGAAGTGGGCTTTAGGCCCCTGAGTCCCCGAGCAGCCTGGCATGCCAGGAGCGTGCCCCCCAACCTGGCCCAGATTTCCCAATCCTGACCTAGCCCTGCTGTGTCCCATTGGCTTGGCCAGGCTGAACAGGCCTTGGTAAGCTGGGAGTGAAGGGGGAGCCAGGTAGGCCCAGGTCCTATCCAAACTCCTGGGCTGTGTGATAGGGCCCCTCAGACCTACACCTGAGCAGGTAGGCAATCCAGCTCCAGGGTTGTCCACATCATTGTGGGGGAGTCTGAGCACAGGGTGCCCTGCACCCAGAGTTTAAGCAGCAGGCAGGGTAGTTAGTAAGAGGGAGCCATTCCCCAGGCAGAGCTGGGGACAGAGAGCCGAGCATCTAGGGAGGGCAGGGCAGGACATGCGAGAGGATTCAACTGGCTGTCTGGGGAGGCTGTGGGGTGCCCTGTGCCCAGTTGGGGGCACTGCTGGTCTGTCCACCTCATAAATGTCTGCTCTGGGGCCACCAGGGTTCCCTTGGGGGTGTGGAAAGAGAGGCGTGACCTAAAGTGGCCTGCCCAACCCAGCACCCCCAAGCCAGGCCTCTTCAGCCAGGGAAAGGGGAGAGAAGTCATGCCAAAACCAGGTCCCTTCACTCCCCCTGCCCCTTGGCTCCAACCAGAGCCCATAGCGCTGGGAGGCCAGAGTAGACACTTACCGTGGCTTTGGCTTCTGCAGCCTTGGCCTTCTTCAGCCGTGCTTTGCAAGCATCCAGGTCCAGACGCCGATTTTGGAGGAGCCTCCTCTCCTTCTGTGGGGTAGAGAATGGGGAACAGTGAGACGCTGGGCAACCCTGGGAGACCTTTGGCTGTGGCAAGACCCCATGGGGCTATCTGGTCAAGATAGGGAAACTGAGACCCAGAGGTGGGAGGTCACTGCAGGTCACTCAGTCCACAGAAGGCGCCTCTGGGGAGGCCCCAGGAGTTCTGGGTCCCAGAGGGGAAGGACAGCCTGAGTTCAGAGGCTCAGAGATAGGGGCTGCCATGGTTACCAGGAAGCAGAGTGGCCCCAGATCTCTCACCGAAATTGTCTTCCAGTCCCCTTCCAGGAAGTTGCGCAGGGGTGTGAGGAAGTTGATAGAGGCCGTGTGGATAAAATCCCTCTCTGCAGCTCCCAGGTGTTTTTCAGCTTCTGCGACCTTGATCAGTGTCTTCCCTGAAAAAACAGAGTTGAAGGGTGAGGAAGAGGGTCTGGTTGAGATGCTCTGACCCCCAGGCAGTAACGGGGAACTCAGGAAGACATCTGCTGAAGAGGCAAGAGCAGAGCTATTCAGTGCAGAATGGGTTGCCAGGTAAAAAATGGAAGCAACATACACAGCCATACACAACATGGACAACTGGGCACAAATAAATAGTGGGATAACCAATATATGAAACTCTACGTAGCCATTAAAAAGACTAGAGGAGTGGGACGTTCAGAATGACAAAGAAATGAGCTCGATAAATCCTCTCCCCAAAAAGTAATAATAAAACTGGACCCAGTTGTCAAAAACATCCATTTCCAGATTCTGGAAATTGACCAAATTCAAAAAACTAATTGAGAACCATTTATTCAAGAAAAACTACTGGCTCTTGGTAAGAACAATGGGAGTGGGGACTTAGCCTGGGGATGCTCCCATCTCCTCAAGTGCTGTGATTCTGTAGCTCTACCAGGGCCGGCAAGCCAAGAGGCCAGCAGCTCTGCTGCTGGAGGGGGCTGACTTGATTAGGAGCTGAAGCACAGAAAAACCCATGAGATGCTGTTGAAAACAATAGCAGTCTCGGCTGGCCTGTTAGCTCAGTTGGTTAAAGCTCAGCTTTACAACACCAAGGTCACAGGTTTGGGTACCTCTACTGGCCAGCTGCCAAAAAATAAAACTCTAAAAACATCAATCTCAATGGCAAATGATCAGGAAAGGGCAACACTGCAGCTAACTGGAGTTGGAATACTGGTTGGAACAAGCAACACACCTGCCAGGAATTTAACAGGAGATCTGGGAAACAGTCATAGTGAGCCTTGATAAACTTTCAGATACCTCTGGTGGTCTGGAAGGATGCGCATGCATGCAGGATTCTCAGGGGAGACTGGAGAGAACGTCAGCTATCTACTCATCCTTGGCTGAAAGAAGACCTTGCACACTCACAAAGTAAAAGCTGGAGCAAACTTATAAACTGCTTGAACTTAGAATGTGTTCCCAAACTCAATCACAAATTTATTGGTAAAGCCTAATGGCTCGTGATGGTTGAGTACAACCTCCAACCAATCACTTTCTGATCATTAACATATGCCAACCCAGGAGCAATCCCTAGAAAGCTAAGCTTAAAAATAATAATTTTTTAAAAAGGAGGAGGGTGGTAGAAATATCAGTAGTTGGGAACACAGACTGTAAACAATTAGCTCAGGAAAGTCTCTAAAATAAACAACCAGCAATAATAACTACTTGGGGATCAGAATCCAGAGCTGCTACAATATATTATCTAAAATATCCAAATTTCAACAAAAAATTTTGAGACATTCAAAGAAACAGAAAAGTATGGTCTACACAGCAAAAAAGGCATCAATAGACACCATCTCCAAGGAGTCACAAATGTTAGACTTAGCAGACAGACTTCTAAGAATCTATTACAAGAATGTTCAAACAATTAATAGAAACAATACTGAAAGAATCAAAGGAAAGTATGATCATAATGACTCATTAAATAAGAGTATCAGTAAAGAGATAGAAACTATAAAAAGAACCAAATGAAAATGCTGGATTAAAAGTACAATAACAGAAGGGCTGGCCCGTGGCTCACTTGGGAGAGTGTGGTGCTGATAACAACAAGGCCACGGGTTTGGATCCTATATAGGGATGGCCGGTTAGCTCACTTGGGAGAGCGTGGTGCTGACAACGGCACATCAAGGGTTAAGATCCCCTTACCAATCATCTTTAAAACAACAACAACAAAAAATAACAGAAATAAAATATTCACTAGAACAGCTCAATAGCAGATTTGAACTGCCAAAAGGAAAAATCAATAACATTGAAGATAGATCAATAGAGATTATACAATGTGAAAAACAGAAAAAAACTGAAAAACAATCTGAAGAACAAAAAAGAAAAATATGATAAAAGAAAAATGAACAGACCTTAGCCTCAGAGACGTATGGGACACCATCAAGTAAAACAATAATTGAGGAACAGGAGACCCAGAAGAGGAGGAGAGAAAGGGGCAAAAAATATTGAAAAAATGATAGGCTGAAAACAATCTGAATTTGAAGAAAAACATTAATCTACAAATTCAAGAAACTAAAAAAGTAAAATAAAATAAAAATAGAGAAAAAAACAGAAAGAAGGCTGGCTGGTTAGCTCAGTTGGTTAGAGGGTAGTCTTGTAACACCAAGGTCAAAGGTTTGGATCCCCGAACCAGACAGCCCTCCCCCACCCACCAAAAAAAAGAGAAAGAAAGAAAAAATAAATAAATAAATGAAACTCAAGAGACTCCAAATAGATCTTACACAAAGAGATCCACAGCTAGGACATCACAGTCACAATGTTAAAAAAAGAAGGCAAGAAGTCTTCAAAGTAACACCAAGAGGGCCGGCCCGTGGCTCACTGGCTGAGCGTGGTGCTGACAACACCAAGTCAAGGGTTAAGATCCCCTTACCGGTCATCTTTAAAAAAAAAAAAAATTGTATTGTGGAGATGTTTGTACAACTCTGTAAATTTATAAAAATCACTGAATTATACACTTAAAACAATTGCATTTTATGGTATATAAATTATACTTCAAGAAAAAGAAAAAGATGGAGGTGGCTCTGTAAGTGCTACAGTGAACAGACAGCTGTAAAATGATGCTGAGTTAAAAAGTCAGGTTGCAGAATAGTGTACACAGTGTGATCCCATAAAAAAATACACACAGGGCCGGCCTGACAGCTCAGCTGGTCAGAGCGAGATGTTACAACACCAAGGTCGAGGGTTCGGATCCCCCTACTGGCCAGCTGCCAGGAAAAACAAAAAAAAACACAAACCTTAAGAAAGGATTCCAGGGCCGAGCCCGTGGCGCACTCGGGAGAGTGCAGCGCTGGGAGCGCAGCAGCGCTCCCGCCCCGGGCGCCGCCCCTCTCCCGCCGGGC